TATATAAAATTTCTTCCACATGAAACATACTAAATACAGTTTTATCTTAGAACATGTTTTCAATTTATTGATTGCCATGATCTTCATTGATGTAGTTTATACGGCGGTTAACTACCGTACCCAACTGTTGCTGATTCAAAATTTGTGTGTCAGCAAACAACCTACTAACAAAAGCGTCTTTTTGCAGGGTCTTTGCTTTGTTATGCCGACAGCAACGATTACAGATCTCCAGTACCGCACGAGTACGAGTGAAGATAGTATCGGGAACATTTATAGAGCACGTTATGGAGGTTATGTCGTGGGCTGCTTCGCGGGCGGTTTCCTATTTAACTGCTACAATCGACAATTTCTACTCTTTCTCGCACTTTTGGCCACAGCAATCGGCGTCCTCGTGATGCCATTTTGTCGCGTCCTAGCTACCCTCATGGCATGCACGTGCGTAACGGGGGTCACCATGGGCCTTTTAGACACTGGCGGCAACGTTTGGCTGCTTGATCTCTGGGGCCGAAAAAGCGCACCATTTATGCAGACAATGCACTTTTGCTTTGGATTAGGCGCACTTGTTGCCCCCCTGGTTGCTCAGCCTTTTGTCGGATCTTACAATCAAATCGGTGCACGGGGTTTGTTTAACGAAACCCGCAATCTCCTGCCACCAATGAGTCCCCGATTTCCTGGCAATCCCTACGGTCAAAAGGTAAAACGGGATCTGACCCAAATTGCTCACAACGTTTCGACCCAACAACCGCTACTAAATAGGAATATCACTAGAACGACTCGGCTGGGTTTCCTAAATATGAACACCTCGACGACGCCACCGTCTGCCACAACGACTAAATTGCCGCCGAAAAAGCCCTTGTATGCTAACGGGGAGAAACAGTTCGATGTATGGGAGCGTCCTGGCCCCCACGCGGTGACGACGACAACCAATTTGACAATGAATTCGATGACGTCAACTACTGCAGCAAACGCTACTACAAGTATCAACATGAACAGTACTTCTACGCCCGTTGTCCTTAGTGCACCAACGGAGGCGACTAGAGCAAATGCAGTATCACAACGATACATTATGGGAAAGCCAGAGACGAAGACAACGCCGACATCTATAACGAATGAATTAGCTAGTCCACCGCCGCCGGCTTCAGTGCAAGCAACAATAGGCGTCACAAACTGTTCGTTCGGCAATAAAGGCAGTACCATCGAAAAAACTGTGACGCCTTCGACAAATGAGATCTCAACGAGCAGCACCTTAAGTCCGGCTATCGCTAGCATTCTTCCAACCGGAGCAGCGTCTGTGCCACCCTCGTCTACAACTCCTGTTGGTAAAAGTACGGCACAATTAAATGGAAGGGTGTCGCCGTCAGAGGGAGCTTGGAGACTCAACGATTCGTTGAAGGTGCTCCATCAAGCCAATGAGCCGGAAAGAGAATCGACAACAAAAGCTACTTCTTCAACGGTGCCTACTCAAGAAACTGTAAAAGTGACTGCTGTTCTCTCGGAAGCTTCCTTTAATACTACAAAGAAACATCACAGTATGAAGAAAGTGCTACCTGACAATGCAGAACAAGTGTCATGGATCGAGGCAACAAAAAAGAAAATCCAAGAGTCGGACAAATTCGAAATTGCGTACGGAATATTGGCGGCGTATGTTCTGGTTGTGTCTGTAATATTTTTGATCTTTCTTTGCATGAACCCGCGAGAGGGCCGCTCCAAGCAAGAAGAAGAACTCGACGATGCGCACGTCGCTCAGGCTTCACTGATGCGTCTTCCGCTCATAATTCTCATGTGCTCGTTCTTCTTTCTTTATATGGGCATCGAGGTAGCCGTAGGCGAGACATTAAAGCCGCTGTTGAAGCGTGGACCTTTAGTAACTGGACTGATCACCGGGGAACAACTAGTTTACGTGTTTTGGGGTAGTTTTGCCTTAGCACGGGGCGTGTCTATCTTCATTTCGATGAAAGCTTCGTACCGCACTATGCTAATCACAGACCTTCTCCTTTGTCTCAGTGCGGCACTTATTTTGGTATTGGGTGCACAACAATCTGGACTACTTGTAGCAGGAGTCATTATTCTAGCCACCGGGATGGCATCAATTATCCCAACGTTGTTCATCTGGTTGGAACGCTGCACGCAAGTTACCAACCGTTTGTCGGCTTTGCTCATTCTGAGTGCAGCGGTTGGCGAAATGATTATTCCTGAACTCGTGTCGGCATTTACCCGCAGCTCATCGCCCATGGCGCTGATGTACATCATACTTGGAGTCATTTTTCTTTGCTCAGTTAATTTTGTTGCACTGTGGTAAGTATGAGCGAAAGCTTTTACCCGGACTTTTGCGAAAATAGCCTTCTGTTCGAAGGGATGAGAAGTGGCTTCTCTGGGAAAGTGCTTTCGGTCAAGAATATATTTAGACACACAGAACGTTATTCTCTGAGTCTACAATACATTACTCAATGGAAATGTGCCGCGCCCCATTTAACGCCATTTCGTCGGATTAGTTCTAATCAGATAGGGCCTTATGTCAAATATTCATTCATTTAGCATTAATTGAACGGGATTCCTTTTCTGAAGCCTTCGTACGATTCTCAGCTAACACTATGGCGATCGAGCTCCCTCGCACACGACATTTTTTTCAAGTCGAAATTTATCTCGCGATATTTATTTGGAAAGGTAAACTTCATCTGTAACACGACGCGAGACGTATACAGTTTTATGTATACGTTCACAATATTTTGCACTGAAAACAGCAACAATGTCGGTCTGAGCTTCAGTTGAAAAATTGTCGGACGTTAACTATATGCTTCCCTCACTTCCTATAGGGATGTACACCCTTGTGGATGACCTTAACAAATAAGTGAGTTCCATATCTAAGTGTTTCTTTACCTTGCCCTATGTCGGAAATAGAGATACACCGCGCCTTCAATTCTAACATTATTGGCTGTAATTACTGGTTTCAGTTATGTGACCTCTGTGCGAGGCGAGAAGTATCTGGATAAACCAGACCGCTCGCTGTACCAACTTGCCAGTCTGGACGATGATATCGAGCACTGGAATCAGGGCAATGGGAAGAATGGACAGCACCAGGACGGAGCGGTTGTCAAACGAAATAAAAACAACTCATTTTTCTACAATCGATTAAATAGCTTGGATAGCTAAAGCGAGTCGATCTATTCATAGGCAGCTATTTGACAAGAGGCGTGCGTACAAGAAGCCCAAAGAGACCTCCAAAGCCCATAAGGAGAAATAGGTCGGCATTAGTATTTGCAGTAGAGAAGCCTACCAATTTTTGGAGCGGATATGTATAATGTATAGATCGCCGATGGTGAAACCGACGAAAGGAGTTCCGCCGTTCGAGCACAACCAGTGAGAATTGAAAGGTGACAGAACGAAAGATATGAGCTGTCACGTGCTAAAGTTATTGTAGGAAACTGTGTCAAGCATTCGTGGCATATGGAGAAAGCTGTTCTAGGACGACCTGAGAGCCAGCTGCCCAGGACGGAATGTTGGAAGATGCGTTTGCAAGCGCTCTATATTACCGCATTGCTCTTTCAACGACAATGTAAATCCAGTACCGACGAATGTGTGTTTCCATCGAGTTTGTATATAGCTCTGTTTCGCCTGCCGTGCGACCAGTTGTGACTGTAATAGTATTGTCTAATAGCAGTCATAGTGTGACTAATTGCTACGTATTGTTTTCATAGAGTTGCTCTCAATCGTGATACGAGAACCGCCCCCGGGGGGTGCCAGTGCCGCCGTCAACAACAAACTGATAGTGGTAGAAAATGTTAATAGCCAGTTGTCTGGTTATACAATGTAATGACGCGAAGGCGGTATGAGTCTTCCGTCCAATGAATAGTTTATTATGAAGAAGAGAACGTTGTTCTGTACAGTAACTTGCGCTCCGGTGCGCATTACAAGAGGATACACCGATGACTATAAGAGGAGTTTTATTAGGAAGAAAATTAAACTTGACTGAGTATCTCTCTTCACTTACACCCAGATGTAGGCGCAACAGTAATGATGATGCTGATCCAGATAACAAGAGTAGTCGTGCTAAAAGTGCAGAAGTAAACTTGTCTAATGTTGCCTATTTCATGCAATCCAACAGGGAAAAGGAGGGAATGCGTTGTAGAGACGTTGTGAACGTGAACGATGATAGTATATATATATATATTATAGATGACCACTAAGGATTGACTGATCTAAGCTGAAAGCGAAAATAGATGTAACAGTCATTGACAATAACTTGAAAAAAGAATATTTGCGTCTTCGGTCCGCAATTTGTTTGATCGAGTCTTCCCGCAACAATTTACGAAACTTCATTTTCTTAACGCAAATACTTTTCTCAGCTGGACTATACAGTTTAGACTATTACAATGATCTCTTTTTAACAGATATACCGTCTCGCTATGCAGTCACCATATTACAGCCAACCTATTTGATTGATATATGTATGGTTTTTTTTTCAAGACTCTTTTCTTTATGTAGTGAACAAGTTATATGACTATCCTAGGCCTAGAAGCGAATGGTAAAAACTCAACTGGGACAAAATCGTTAAACGATCGTGAGTGACAAAAATGACAGACAGGTACTATTAGGATGTTTTAATCTTACTTTGGTACTTACGTTTTTACTACTGTTTTTGGTTTTTATTTACATGTGTATTGTAAGGATATGTGTATATCACTGATGACTGAAAACATTTTTAGGATTTAACTTCTGCAACACATCAGGCACATTTGGTTCTTTTTTCGGATTTAATGATTTATAATTAAATGCGAAGGGCAAGTTTTCATGGAGCGTGTTCGATTCTGATTATCGTTTGTAGTGTTAATCATTCAAATTTTATCCAAATTTGAATAAAGTTAAATCGTTTGAAAGTAAGTTAGCCCGGGCTTCGGTGTGAATCTTTTGCCTGAGTTTAATAGGGACACTCTTTTTAGATTGAGGAGCGAATTGTTAAGGACGAAAATAGGGCTGAGCTTTGCTTCTATGAAATATTGAATACAAATAATAACACCCAAATAAACATAGCTAGTTCAATTAATATTAAAATAGAAGAAAAGGGTGTTGAGAGGAGCCACGAGAGTAAACAAGACAGAAGCAACGAAACGTATTGCAGAACGCTGAATTGTAGGTAAGGACACAGCAGCATAAAGGACTTCATGAAACATTCGGCAAATGTCGTAGGCTAGGAGGGCTAATATAAATTTAAGTGGGTAGAGACAAGTAAGGCTAGAAACGACGTCGAAAGCAACCAGACATTACCCACGCTTGAAGTTCATAGAAAAACGGCTGATCTAGGAAAAAAAAATACTTGATTACGCCAAGTAGATCTTTGATTACTTAAGGCGACGTGAGATAAAAGTTCATCACATAAAGCGACGATTCGGAATCCAGGGAACAGCAATGTTCAGTTTGCCTATTTGCGTACCGCTTTAAGAAGCTTCAGAAGAAAGGGGGCACTGGCTACTACAAAAAAATGATTGGGTTTCGGTCAGGACCTGGCAAGCGGAAAAACAGAGACAATCAGAGTGACTGGTTTTGTATGTTCACCTTGTATACGTGCATTTCCATTGTTGGCCTAGATAAATATCAATATTAGCCAAATTTACTTGGACAATATAATTCAGTACTTCCCAATACCACACGAGAAATTATACCGCTTCAGAACTGTAGGCCGATCAGACAGCGTCTATATTGCGGAAACAAAAAAATAAATAGTCTGCCATCGCTAAAGGAATAAACCTTATTTTACTGATGATTGACTACCGGAGACATATCGAAAGGAGTCAACAATATATACGTTCATTCAGCGCAATAAATCGATATAAGGTATATATCGTTTTTTTTTGTAATTTAAAATTTGTAATCATTTAGGTTTGAGAATCAGTTGTTTCTAATCTAATACGGAGCTAGGTTAACTGCAAGTCTTCAAAGTTCTTACAATATTCTTATTATAAGGACGGTCATAGTAAATAGTGATGAGGATATACTAGCTTTGTGAGACTTTTTGCTTGGGCGACTCCGTGCGGATCTAAGTGCAACGGTGAAATTTTTGTTCTGGTTTCGTATTGATATGATTGAATATGATCGTATTTAGCATTTGGAAATTCCTATGAGCCAAGAAACACCATACGAACTCGGGTCGGTGTGTTTGTTCATCTTGAAAAAAACAACCGTGGATATGTGACGCAGTAATTTAGTAAATTATGCGTTCTTAATATTACAGCATTATAAACTTTTATTTAAATTTATTGTTAAGACCATCGATTTGATTTTTCTTAATGGGAAATATTATATTACTCGGGACAACTATATAGAAAGTTACTTTTCTCATCGGTTCGAACACTGAAGTATTTCGAACATTTTAGTTTTCCTCGTTTCTATCTTCATTGAGCTGGTGGTGTAGATGGGTTCGTTATCAGCTGGAACAGGGTTCTCGTCCTGGGCGTCCCAAACCGCTTCAGAAGCAATGCCAGTTCAAGGATTGTCGTTCATAATTTCTCAAACAGATATTCGTGCGCAGGCTTATAAATTTCGATTTACATTGTCCATGTCTGAAGGCCGTGAAAAACTGAAACCGCCTGATTTCTGATAATTGCTAGGGCCTGTTCAACTTCCTTAGTTCGTTTGGTAAGTTTTTTATTCGTTTCATTCCCTGTACTGATAGAACTGTGTATCCACAGCTATTGACCAAGTCTTAAATTGTTGTCTACGATGCAAGAGTGCCTCTATTGCATCGCGTGGCTTCAGGCTGAGAGCTATAGGAGCGAAAATCATGGAGCATAGCTCAATTCGATTTTAATTATTTTGTTTATGACAGTCTACCTGTCCCAGACTCAAGGAATACCAACCGAGCCAATAGAAAGGGCCGCCTTATATACACGAGCGAACCCATTATTCAAATGTTTGAATTTTGTAGTCTATGACTATTTTTCGAGCGCCTCAGAGATTTTCTCGTCATGGCAACAGGACTGGTGATACTTTAATTTACAAAATAGTAAATAAATGGGAATAAATCTTCTTTACTTCTTAATTAATGTTCAAAAATCTCACTTGCCATAGGATAAGTGGTAAAGAAATATCTTTTAAGAAAACATACGCGTATTAAGTACAGGCCGATTTCAAGAAGTGCGCCTCAGTTGAAAATTAGTGTGGAAACAATCAAGTTAAGCTCTTTATAGGAAAAGCCAGTGTACCACTGACACCATACCTTCGAGTTCCTACCATTTACTAACCATATTAAGGCTCGTTGCAATTATTATTAATTTTATTCTCAATTTTATCAGTGTACAAAAATGATCATTCAAAAATTGTGTTAAAAAATTATAGCGCGAAGAAAACGATAAACATGTTATAGTGATTCCAGTGTCTACGTTCGACAAGATCATTAGTATCTAAGACCTCTACATTTCGCTGTTCTGATGATTTTTAAGAACACTTTATGTATCAGTGACATTGGCGAGGCTAATATTTTGAACTTTTTCGTTTGGATTTTACATTACTGTTTATTGAATGTACCCCGTACCTCCACCTTTCTAGTTGCGGCCGTTTCTATGTACGTCTAGTTGCCTTTCGCAGTTTGACCCGTAAATCTGGCTGGCACCTTTATTCTTCTCCTTTTGGACGAGGGCCAGCTGAATCCGCCCTCCTGCGGCGTCGTCGACCCGGCCCATCGTTCCCGCATCCTGAATCCTTATAAATCCTTACTCTCAGCTGCATGAGTGAACTCCCTTTATGTAAATCGTATAGTGGCGTGGCCATTGCCGATTACGAAGTTTCAAATGCATCATCGACAGCGGACTATCGTGTAACTGCTACCTTTCAAAAAAATTCTAGATGACACCTAATAAAGAAGGCACTGTCGTAGAAGTATATTTTGTTTATGAACACAGCTTTTTCACCCAGATGCCCAAGGTGATTAATTCCTTAATTGAAATCCAGATTAAACAAACATAACTTATATAAAATAGCCGCCAATTGTATACAGCACTTTTAGCAGCAAAAAAAAAAAAAGTTAAGAACGTTTCAGATAAATATGGTCACTCTGTCCTTTATGAAAAGATGATCCTCGATACATTAAAATTACTTGGAAGTTTAAAAATAACTCTAGCTGTCGGGAAACAGAAAAAAAAAACTCTGGACAGCCGTAGAAGATATTTTACCAAAAGTGTTGAATTATTCTTAGGCATAGTCGCCGCGGCACATTTGCTTTACCAGACTGTCTCACCTCATTTTATCACATTTGTTTCATCAATGATGGCGCACTACAACTGCATCCTTAGCATTTATTAAATCCGCGGTACAAGCGTAATTATTAAAAACAACATAATTTCCGTGTTTATCTTCCTAACTATCCCTAAAAATCTCTGAATGGCAAAAGATGTTAGGGTGGCACTGTCAAGTAGAAAAATACTGTCACCCAGTAGACCAGACGCGGTCAGTGACGTATGAACTAATTAAAGCGCGATATAGGCCACGTCATTGAAGCGCTCATACAATGCGCGTGTCAACCGACATTCCTCAGCATATGAAACGGGGAAAGGGGGCATTCTTGTCCTGCCAGAACATTAGCAGCTTGCGCTGCTTTATGCAAAATAAATTGTTAACCATTTACACAGCATCCACAGCAGACTTCAATGTTATTATAGCTATTTTCATAGGAAATTCAAATGGTATTTCTCTTTATTTTGATGATGATAATTGCCACTTTTTTTTTTTTTTATAGATAACAATTAACTTAACAGTGTTCGAGTTTTTACATCAAGCAATACGTACAAAGCCATGGACACTATATTTCATTTGTGTTTTTTACTTTTTTGGTACGCAGTAGTTCTTTCAGTATCTAGCTGAGGTACGCATCGTGGATCTTTTAGTTATTCGTTGACGTATGTTATTTATTATTTTTATGTTACTAAAAGATT